CCCATTCGGTAACGTTTTCGAAGAATGTTTTCTTAGAATATTTTTAGAGAATGAAAACAAGTAAATGAAAATGCGTCTGGTAGATTAATAGAAAACATCTTCAGAAAACAAAAACAATGAAAACGTGTCTGGTAGTACAATTTGAAATAATAATATGTGAGTTATTTTTATGAAAACGTTTCCCATGAGAATGAAAATAACTTTTTTTTGTTTTCTACAAGTACACATGAACTTGTTTTCATTTTATGAAAATATTCTCAATGTCTTCTGTTTTTGGGCCACCGAAGGTATTTTTGCCTCATTTTTGTTCTCTGAAAATGAAAACAACCCTTTAAAACATTACCGAACAATGTTTTCTGTTTTTGGGCCACCGAAGGTATTTTTGCCTCATTTTTGTTCTCTGAAAATGAAAACAACCCTTTAAAACATTACCGAACTGGCCCTTAGGGTTTTCTTTTGTTTTTGGAGAGTTTTTCCAGACCTTTTGAAATTAGGGTTTATTTATTTTGCACTATATAAGGTTACCCAATGTTTCTAGAAGGGTGGAGATAAAAGAGAAGAGTATAGCTTTGGGCACGCCACCGTGTTCCTAGTTTTATTATTTTATTTTATTTCTTTCTTATTTTTATAACTATGTGTAACTAAATATCTTTTTAAGGTTTATGATGAAGCCATAACATGATTATTTGTGAAGTACTTTGTTGATTTTTATTTAATTATATGTTGTGCTAAATTCTTAATCTTTCTGTGAATTTTATTCTAGATTTGAAATCCTATGGAACTTTGCATCTAGATAATTGGATTAATCTAGGAGAGAAACGTCATCCACTAGGTTTATTGAAACTAAGATTAAGAAGAGTAGATAGCTAGGAGAGAAAAGTCATCCACTAGTCCTACTTGGTTGATTAAATTCTTCTAATCTTAACGGGTTCTTGTATGTTAAATTTGAACATCTTGACATTGTAGAATTGCATATAAGGATACACAATTTATGACCTTGACAGGCTTACTTCATACTTTAGAAAGAACAACCTTTAACATTGGCATCGTAATTGGATAGTAATTGGCTCTAAGAAAAAGAAATAGGATTGTCATTGGTGGATTCATAACCTTAGATCTTCATCACTTTTTCTTTTAAATCTATCTTTTTCCGTGTGTTTAATTTTGGCTTAAGTGTTAAAATGGTCCTTTGTTTTACTTAATTGGAAAATTTAGTCCCTGTATTTTCAATTTGGCTAATTTAGTCCATGTGTTTTACTTTGTTAACCAATGTTGTCCATTTCGTTAAATTACAGTTAAAAAAAATTCATTAAATTTTTTTAAAAGTTCTATTTACAAAGAAAACAAATATGAATTTAAAAAAATTTACTTAAAATATGGAAACCCGATAGCCTCTATGTTCTTCTCTCATGCCACCACCACCACCCAACCCACACCACAACCACCATGAGCAGTCCCAAAAAAACCTTGGAGGGATAAAGAAATCACCACAACCACCATGAGCAGTCTGAGCCCTCCCTTCCCTCCCCGATCCATTCCACCCACCCGCCCCACAACTTCCCTCCAACCACCCCACACCCCCCCCCCCCCAAGGCAACTAATGGTTCTGGTGTTGGGTTGGGTGGCAGCAGCAGCATGAGAGAAGAAGTACACACTGAACTTAACAATTTATTATTATTAAATTTTAAACTTTAATGATTTTTTTTAACGGTAATTTAACATAATGGACAACATTGGCTAACGAAGTAAAACACGGGGGCTAAATTGGCCAAATTGAAAACACATGGATTAAATTTGCCAAATGTGCAAAACACAGGGACCGTTTTAACATTTAAGCCTTTAGTTTTTCTTTCTTTTAATTCTTGCAATTTAAGTTTTCCTTAATTCATCACTCAAATCAATCAATCATTCATTTAATTGGGTTTAGTGTGATTTAACTAATTAAGTTATTTTTTATCGGTCCTTGTGGGTTCGACCTCGTACTTGCATATCTCTATATTAATGTTTATTCGTGCACTTGCGAGTAATTTAATTTGTGATTTTTGGATACTCTTTTTCAGGTGTTCGAAAATTTTACATCAATAAACATAACAGTGAAACAAGTCACATGGTAGGCTTAACTCAATCAACTGCTTCATAATTCAAATTAACCTCTCACATCTCTTATGTGAGAGTTTTCTTTGTATTGTTATGTCTTGGTTTTTTTAAGCTTGATCTCTTTTTGGTTGTTCTAAGTTTGCACTCTTAGTTGGGATTCCTAAGCCCGAATTTCTTCGATTCTACGTGATCTTTAGTGGAGAAGCCCCAGATTGTCTTAATTTTAATATTAGATCGTTCTGTTATTGTAATGACCCTTTGTGACTAGTTTGTATGGGCCCTTTTTTGGCTGTTTTATGAATGCAATCCCGAAATTTCTTAACCAAAAAAAAAAGGTACTTCTAAAGTAGTCTTAAGTACACACTTATGCTTAATTATTATATTTGATCATCTCTTAATTCATAACTCTCCTCAACTTCCTCTTCAATTTTGAAAATGTTTTCCTACTTTTTTTATCCCCCAACTTGTCATGCATATTATCTTGAGAGTATGTTATTAAAATCAGTACTGGTTTTGTTTATTTAATCAGTTTCCTAAACTTACATCTAAAAATTGGCTAAGTACAGTGGAATTTAATCATTGCCAAAGTCAATGTAAACCTTCTGAGATGAAAAGTTTTAAGGAGATTGATTGCTACCAACCCATGATCGACGGTCCCCTATTAGGCCCTCCCCTAGTGGTGTTCCCTTGGTGGTGTTCCCCTAGTGGTGCAATTTCTACTCCAGTCCTTGTCTGGACTCTCTGCATTTGTTTCCTTTCAATAAGTGGAAAGCAAAGACTTCAAAATTCAATATTCAGGTTGCTTGATTAAAACCTTCTCAGGTGAGGTATGGTGGCTGTTCACCTTGGGTGAAGTCGCACAAAGCACACCCACTACCCTTGGGTTAGTAGGGTCCCCACAAAGAATGGGTGGCAAACCAGAAATATTGCGGAGAAGAATTTAAACCATCAACTTCCTCTTTACGTTTGTTTCTAGCTCTTCTGGTCCAAACAAAGGAGTGTTTCTATATACTATATATACATAGTTCTGTGAGCAAAATAATATAGGATAATTCTGGTATAGCAATAGCAAAAAGAACCATGGCAGTTCCTAGTCATATAATGCCTTGTGGAGTCTTCTTCATGTTCTTTTTTTGGTCTATTGTCATCTCTACAAATCATGCATGCAACAAAGCAGATCACAACTCTCTTTGGTCATCTTTTGATGTACCTTCTTCTGCTTTAAACTGGTCTTCTAGTGATTGTTGTCACTGGGAAGGCATCACTTGTGACAAGGATGGTAGGGTAACTCATTTGTTGTTGCCCTCCAAACGGCTCCAAGGAAGCGTTTCTCACTCTCTTGGAAACCTCACGCATCTTTCGCACCTCAATCTCTCCCACAATCAGCTTTCTGGTCTTCTGGAAGCTGGACTCATTTTGTCCTTGAGTTTCCTTGAGATTCTTGATTTGAGCTACAACCTTCTCTCTGGTGAAGTGCCTCTGTTTCCGCCATCCAGTTATATCCGAATAGTGGATTTATCCAGCAATCAATTCAACGGAACAATTCCTTCTTCATTCCTCCAGCATGCTGGTAATTTGAGCAGTTTGAATGTCAGCAAAAATCATATTACTGGCCAAATGCCATCCTCTATCTGTCTTTATTCTTCTTTGGTTAGAGTCTTGGATTTCTCCTATTTTTTTTTTTACTGCTCAATTCCTCTTGGTCTAGGGACCTGTTCGAAATTGGAGGTCTTTCATGCAGGTTTCAATAATCTCTCAGGGACCCTTCCTAGTGATATTTACAATGCTCAGGCACTTGAAGAAATTTCATTACCTTCCAACAAGCTTTTTGGTCCCATCAGTGACAGGATTGTCAATCTTACCAGCCTCACAATCCTAGAGATATACTTTAATCAGCTGACCGGCGTGCTCCCTCACCATATTGGGAAGCTCTCCAAATTGAAACTCATGCACCTTCATTTCAACAATCTACAAGGTTCTCTGCCCCCATCTTTGATGAATTGCACAAACCTTGTAGAACTAAATCTGGGATTCAACCGTTTGGAAGGAAATATCACAATGCTAAATTTCTCCAAACTTGGTCAACTTATTAAGCTTGATCTGGTCAGTAATCACTTCTCTGGTTTCATGCCGGTAAGCCTTTACTCATGCAAGTCCCTGAAAGCAATTCGACTGAGCGGAAATGATCTAGAGGGACAAATACAACCTGAGATTGTCTCTTTAAAATCCCTGTCCTTCCTCTCCCTTGGCAGGAACAGACTGACCAATGTCACAGGGGCCATATATATATTGATGGGTTGCAAAAATCTCAGGGTACTCACCCTTCCAAATAGTTTTCTAGGCGAAGAACTACCTGATGGTGAGGCTATGGTTGGTTTGGGGTTTCAAAATCTCCGTCTTCTTGGTTTATCAGACTGCCAACTTACAGGTCATATACCTGTATGGATGTCAAAGCTCAAGAAACTGGAAGCCCTGGACCTGTCTACTAATAGACTCACAGGCTTAATACCTGGTTGGTTGGGGACTCTTCCTAGTCTTTTCTTTATAAGCTTGAACAATAACTCCCTTTCAGGTGAACTTCCAAATGAGCTTTTCAGACTACAAGCACTGGTATCAGAAAAACATGCAACTCCAACAGACCATGGTGATGTTGAACTGCCTATCTACACGCAACGCACGAATCAATCCATTACTGCTTTGCAGTACAACTATCTGTCCAACTTGCCAAGAGCAATTTACATCCGAAACAACAGTCTAAGTGGCAACATACCGGTTGAGATTGGCCAATTGCAACACCTTCACGAGTTGGATCTTAGCGTCAACAACCTCTTTGGCAGCATTCCAGACCAGATATCTAACCTCACAAACTTGGAGAGATTAGACCTCTCAAGAAACCATCTGTCGGGCGCGATCCCATCTTCACTGTCAAATCTTCATTTCTTGGCTTCATTTAGTGTTGCATACAATAATCTGCATGGACAAGTACCGTCAGGCACTCAGCTCCAAAGCTTCGATGCCACTGCCTTTGAGGGTAACCCAGGACTTTGTGGTGCCCCGCTTCCGAATGAGTGCCAAAAGTTGAACACAAATAATAATAAAACTTCTAACGTGGAAGATGTACATGACAATGCGAATGGAATTCCATGGCTTCATATTTCAGTGGCTCTTGGTTTCATTATAGGATTTTGGGGAGTTTGTGGCCCTTTAGCTTTGAGCAGGTCATGGCGATATGCATATTTCGAATTTCTGTCCAATGTTAAAGATCGCTTTCTGGGGTAGTGAAGTGTATTTTTCCTCTACAAATAAAAGATTTTATTAACCATAGCTGCTGCATAGCAACAATCTAAACCCTCCTCTTCACTTTGTTCCTCCCTTACTCTCCACTCCAAAGTACACCTTGGAAAAATTCTGAAAGACAGTAATAAAGTTTTTTTTTTTTTTTTTACTTTATAAAAATTAATACATAATTATAATCTTGCTCTCCCTCCTTGCCTGCTAGTAAAACCAAAGAAAATTGTATCGACATGATGAAAGGAGTAAAAGAACTTTCTTTTTTGTTCTTTCTCTTTTTTCAAAGTCGTCTTTGATCCTTTATTTAGTGCTCGAGAGTCTTTGTGCTCGACATGGTCCATGAAGCAAAATAACAAGCATGTGATGTGATATCAGTATCTTTGATTCTAATCTAATCCACAGATGATATTTACGACTTTGAACTACAGACTTTGACTTTAGGACTTGAAATACTTGGCGTTTTCATTTCTCTTTCCTGGCTAAAGATTTTATTTTGACTTCTTACAATGAAGACGTATATTTTGCATATAAAAATACATACAAACCTGTGAGTGATCTAAATCTAAGAAGAAACATGGTACCTCAGCCTGATCATCAACCAATCTCTTATGGCTTCCTTTTCATCCTCTTCTTTTCTTCCATTATATCTGCAAAATATGCATGCAAGCTGACTGAACGCAGCTCTCTCATGTCCTTCTCTCTCTCTCTCTCTTCCCCTCCACTAAACTGGACTTCAGTTGATTGTTGCCAATGGGAAGGCATCACTTGTGATCAAGATGGTTTGGTCACCCAATTGCTCTTGCCCTCCAAAGGCCTCAAAGGAGGTATTTTTCCCTCATCACTTGCAAATCTCACACATCTCACCCACCTCAATCTCTCCCACAATTCGCTTTATGGTTCACTAAATCAAACTGGATTCTTCTCGTCCTTAAACCGTCTTGAGATCCTAGATTTGAACTCTAACCTTCTCTCCGGAGAGCTGCCGGCTTCTCTACCATCCAGAAATGTGATCCGGATGGTGGACTTGTCAAGCAATCACCTCCATGGCGAAATCCCATCTTCATTCTTCCAACAAGCTTGGAATTTAACTAGTTTCAGTGTCGGGAACAATACCTTAACCGGGTCTATCCCGTCCTCTATTTGTCTTCATTCTTCTCCCTCCATTAGGCTATTGGATTTTTCCTTCAATAAATTCAGTGGCAATATTTTTCCCGGACTAGGGGCATGTTCCAAACTGCAGGTTTTTCGTGCCGGTTACAATAACATTTCGGGTCTACTTCCAGATGATATCTTTAATGCTTCAACACTTGAAGAAATCACATTGCCTCGCAATTCACTGTATGGAGCCATAGGTGAAAGAATTGCCAACCTCACCAACCTCACAATCCTTGACCTCCAATCTAATGGATTGAGTGGTCTGCTCCCTGTAAGTATTGGTAAGCTATCCAAACTGAAACTCATGTTCCTTCAATTCAACAACCTACAAGGTTCTCTGCCCCCATCTTTGATGAACTGCACAAACCTTGTTGAACTAAACCTGGGACTCAACCTTTTTGAAGGAAATATCTCCACCCTTGATTTCTCCAAACTTGTTAAACTAACCGAAATTGATCTTGGCCATAATAACTTCACCGGTTTCTGGCCAGTAAGTCTTTACTCATGCAAGTCCCTGAAAGCGATTCGACTGAGCAAAAACAATCTAGAGGGGCAGATACAACCTGAGATTCTTTCACTGCAATTCTTGTCCTTCCTCTCGATCAGCTATACCAGATTGACCAACGCCACGGGGGCAATAAAGATCTTAATGGGTTGCAAAAGTCTCAAGGTGCTCCTCCTTTCATCAACTTTTTATCTAGGGGAGGAAATTCCAGCTCTTGATAATATGGATGATTTTGATGGATTTCAAAATCTTCAAATGCTGGATTTGAGCAGCTGTAAGCTCAGTGGTCAAATACCTGCATGGTTATCCAAGCTCAAGAAGCTAGAGGTCTTGATTCTAAATTTTAATAGAATCACAGGGCCAATTCCTAGTTGGCTGGGGACTCTTCCAAGGCTCTTTGTTGTAGGCTTGGGATCAAACCAAATTTCAGGTGTATTTCCAAAAGAACTTTGTAGGTTACCCATGTTGGTATCTGAAAAAACTGCAGTTCAAGTAGATGACGATGTTCTCGAATTGCCTATCTATACATCGACCAATGGAACACTTTTGCAGTACAAATTGTCCTACTTTCCTCGAGTGTTAGACATAAGGAACAATAACATTAGTGGGAGCATACCTATTGAGATTGGGCAATTGCAGCTTCTCCAGACGTTGTATCTTAACATGAATAACTTCTCCGGGACCATCCCGGAGCAAATATCCAACCTCAAGAACTTGGAGGGATTGGATCTTTCCATGAACCATTTGTCTGGAAACATCCCATCATCATTGGCAAGCCTTAGTTTCTTGAAATCTTTCAATGTCTCATACAATGATCTCCGAGGATCAATCCCAACAGGCACTCAGCTCCAAAGCTTCAATGCTTCTGCATTTGAAGGAAATTCAAAACTTTGTGGAGCCCCACTTCCAAATGAGTGCCACCCAAGAAATGGCACTGATGCAGAGCATAAGAACAACCAAGATGTGGACAATGGGCACCAAATTCTGTGGTTTGAGTTATCTGTTGTGCTTGGGTTCATTGTAGGGTTCTTGGGAGTCTGTTGCTCTTTGCTCTTTAACAACACATGGAGATATAGATATTTCCAGTTCCTAGACAATGTTCAACATAAGCTCTATTTGATGCAGAGAAAGCTTAGAAGGTAGAGTACTATACTGTTTTTTCTTTTTCCAGTCTTTTTTTTTTTTTTTTTTTTTTCTATTAATTGGTTTTAGTATTTCTGTCATCTTCGATTTGTTTTATGATGCTTAATTATTTTTCCTTGTTTTTATTCTTCCACTTGATTAATCAAACACAGGGTGAGAGTTGACAGACAACTCCAAGACCAAGTCCAAGTCTCAAACCAAAGGCCCGAAGTCAATAGCAGCAATCTGTACCGTGATACAGATGGTGAAAATTGGTCAGAATTTGCAACCCTCACAAGTCACAATGCTGCCAAACCACCTCCCTTCAATGATCCAACCAAAGAAGATCCCCACACGTCCCTCGGCACAGAAGAAGAAATATTTTTTGATACAAACGATATTGAGGGAGGAGAGATTCAAACACAGGATATCAGGTTCACGGGTAACTAGTATGAGTTCAGAACTCTTTTGTTTATATTTTTTTTTTCTTCGGGTAGGGATATCTTTTGTTTTCTGTTAATGACATGGGTTTTTCTTTCTTTTTTTGGATGAGTAAGTACTTCAAGTTCTTTTGGTGGATCAGAATTATAATCAGGCAATTATTTTGGTTACTCCGTTTTCTTTTCTTCTTTCGAGGGTTTTGGGCCTAGCTTCTCTCCTTCCTACTACTAGCAACAAAGCCCACACTACAAGTACAAAATAAGATATATAAAATAAATGGAAACTAGAAAAAGGACCTCCTCATTGATGCTATTCATCAAACCTTTGTATAGGCAATGGATGCCACAAACATTCTACAAGTTCACAATACATCTATGTCTGTCTCTCTATCTCCTGTGTTTGATTCTTGCCTTCTTGGGCGAAAAACTAAAAGACACTAGAAAACCTAGCATTAGCAACAAAACGAGAGCAGAAACCCAAAACACACCAAAAATAATTTACAGGATACAAACAATGGCCATCACCTCCTTGTGCGCTTTCTAGGCCTCCCTGCACTCCCCATCTGATCAGCCTCACCATTGCCTCTCCCTCTTTTCCCACTTCCATTTCCAGCCTCTGCGGTCTCCGGCCTTTTCGGGGGTCTCCCAACCCCTCTCTTTGCCCTCCCACTGCTCTCCTCGTCTCTTCTTCCCCCTCCTCTCCCTCCCCTCCTCCCAGTAGAACTCCGCGTCACCCTCTTTTTCCTCTCGTCCAGTTTCGTCTTTCCCTTCTGCTTCTTCTCGTCCTCCTCTACCATACTATCCTCACTCTCACCACCCTCCGAAACATCCGAGCTCCCTCTCTTCACCTCGGTGCTCGTAGAGTTCTGCTTCATTCTCTTCAAGAACGTCCTTGCCGCGCCTTGCTTTGTCGTCTTCGCGTTTTCGATCTTCTCCATTTTCATTTCCTCTAAACCATCATGGGAACTAAGCTCATTTCCACCATAAGCATGCTCCGTTTTTCCCACATTCTTGCTGCTGCCCCTCCTCGACCCTCTCGGCCCACCTCTTTCTTGGGTCCTTTTCTTCCTAATCCCCTTGTCCTCAACCTCACTTGCCTTTCCTTTCTCTTCAACCTCCCTTCTTTCCTTTTTATCTCCCTTCCTGTTCTTAGCTCCGCCACCTCCATTGGCAGAACGACGTAAACCACACACAACAATGGAGGGCTTGCTGGGTTTCACAGAGCTATCGGGTTCTATCTTGGGTACTTTGGATTCTAACTTGGGTGCGTGGAGTTTTACAGTATCGATCGCGGGTTGTGGTTTTGGTAGCTGGTCCTTCATTTCCTTTAGCACAATGGATCGTAGCTCTTGAGCTGCCATGTGCTCTGGAGAAGTCTTGCGCAAGAAAACGACGGCGTTGTTGAATAGGAGGAGGAGGTCACGGAAGAACTTGTGGGTGCAATCTGTGTAGACCCCTTTGTTAAGCCTGGATTGAACCTCATGCAGGTCCATGTGTTGCCGGATCAAGCTTTTGTATCTTTCTGATTCCTGCAAAAATTGTATGCTTCTTTATTAGAATATAAAGAAAAGAAAATATTAAAATATATATATATATATATATATATAAATTGGCATTTGGTAGTAAAAATAAAATAAAAAGAAAAAGAACTAATGGTTTGGTAATTTTGTCTCAGTAGGAAAATACAAAGGTAAGGGTACTATGGTAATATCGCACTCCAAAAGGCTTCAGGAGTTGTACCGTACACATGTGTAACATTCCACAAG